TCTCAGTGTTTTCAACAGCTGCCCACTACTCCATCAAACAGATATATGCAATTTTTTTTTTTGGTACCAGGGATCGAACTTGGGACCTTGTGCTTGCGAGGCAGGTGGCAGAACCACTGAGCTAAATCCCTGGCTCCTATTATATGTAATTTATCTTGTCTCCTCTACATCACTGATGTTGTTTTTCCTTTTTTTTGCCTTTCAGCAATGTTCCAAAGGGCAACCTTATATCTAAACCTGAGTAAACTGTTTTGTCATTTAAAATTCTGGGATTCAGCATTTTTCATACTTATTGACCATTTAAGTTTCTTTTACTGTAAGCTTTCAATCATGTTGCCCATTCTCCTACAGACACCTTTTTCCTTACTGACTTATAAATATCTTTGCATATGAAGAAAATCAATCCTCATTAATCAAATATGTTCCCTTCTTTGTCTATATCATTTTTGTGATACTGATATCCAAACTTCCTTCTATAGTTTCTATGATCTCATCACCTGTACTATAATCTCTCTGGACTTTCAGCATAAGCAGTGAGGTAAAGGTAAGAGTCTGTCAACGTCACTGACTGAACTTTCTTTTCATCAGTAGTATGCATAATCTAAATACTGACAGGCGTTCACATTTATTTCTACACTCCATTCTTTTCCACCAATAGTCTGGTATTTCTTCTCTAGCACCCATTTGTTTTAACCAACTGAATCATCCAAATACATTTCATTATCTACTAAGGCTTCCTCCTCTACCCTTCTTAAAAGAGTTAAACAGTTTCCTCGTTCTCTCAACCTTTCCCAGGTTAACTTTAGTATATTTTTGTTATATTCCTCCCAAAAATTTGTTGGTATTTTACAGATGTAGTGTCTTTCAACAGAGTTTTAAATCTGTCATCTTTTCAAAACAGAATCTAATAAGGATATAATGTCTTCCTATTTACTTATATCTTTTACAAACATTACAGCATTTAAATTATTCTTCTTATAGATCTTGACTATTATATCTAGGCATCTTACCTTCTGGGTACTAATCAATAGCTTATTTCCTTTTATTAATTTTCTAACTGGTTTTGATCTGCATACAAACAGCTACCAATTTTTGTATATTAAGGTTAAACCACCCAACCTTCTCAATTCTCTATTTCTGTTTTTTTGGTAGAATTGTTTCAGTTTCTGTAATATAAAATATAACTGCACCATAATCTTAGCACTAGGTTGGAGGAGCGCCATGAGTCCCAGGCCAGCATGGGCTACACAGTGAGTTCAAGTCCAGCCTGAACTACACAGTGAGACCCTGTCTCAAAAAAAAAAAAAGCAGGGTGGGGATTTAGCTCAGTGGTTCTGCCACTTGCCTCCCAAGCACAAGGTCCCGAGTTGGATCCCTAGTACCAAAAAAAAAAAAAGAAAAGAAAAAAAAGCAAATAATTTTGACTTCTCTTTTATAATACATATCTTTCTTTCTTCTATCTTATTATAAATATTTGTATTTATACAATTACAAAAATTATGGTAATGGTGAATATCTTTTATATTTTTCTTGACATTTGTGAGAATGTTCTTAGGAATTACCATAAGCATGACACTGGCTTTTGGTTTGAGAAACAAGAAGTTTTTGTCATCTGTTTATAATCTCCAAATCCTGGCAGTTTCAAGTTTTCATAGGGCAACAAATTATCATGATGTGAAAAATGTTTACTGATCAACTGACCCACATAAATTTAAGAAGTATGCCTGTTTATCATTTATCCCTGACCATCTTTAGGACTATGTTGCAAACATTAAGGATGTCTTCTCAGTGTTGTCATATAATTTTATGGGGTTTTTTTTTTTGAGACAGGTTCTCAATATTGTAGGCAGGGTTAGCCTTGAATGTGTGGAGATTCTCCTGCCTCAGCCTCTTGAGAACTGGAATTATAGATATACATCATCACACCTGGATTGTCTGTAGTTTTTTGAGACAGGGTTTCAATATGTAGTCCAGACTGGCCTTCAACTCATTATGGAGCCCAAGTTGGCCTCAAAATCACAGCAATCCTCCTACCTCAGCCTCCCAAGTGCTGGGATTACAGGTGCACAATATCATGCTGGCTTTGTCGAATCATTTTATCTTCTACAAATCAAAAACCTCAAATTTAGCCAAGCATGTGGCACATGTCTGTAATCCAAATTACTCGGGAGACTGAGGCAGGAGGATTATAAACTCATGGCCAGCCCGGGCAATTTAGTGAGGCCCTTGTTTCAGAAAAGGAAAGGGGGGGTGGTGGCTAGGGATGTGGCTCAGTAGTAGAATATGCCCCGGTTTAATCCCCAGTCCAAAGCTCAAGAAAACCCCAAACTACATACTACATTCAAAGTTAATTTAGCTCCCACTGTAACTTAAATGTTGCCCCTACTGTTTACTATGAAATTCTTTCCCATCAAATGTGGATTCCATTTTCTATGTATTCCTGATCAATCACTAATGATCTCATAAAGAGCTTTCAAGCATGAGAATACATTTATTACTATTAATTAAAGTTCAACCACCTCTAGTCCTCCTTCCCATCACCAGCCATGAGGAGCTGATCCTGAACTGTAGTCAGATGCTTTTAGGTGGCCACTGAGATGATTACAATAGGTATAGAAGATAGAGCCCATGTAACACGATAAGAGCCTCTGGACTCACTACCTATTGCCTAGGTTCAAATCCTAGCTCTACCACACATTTACTATGTGAGCTTTGACAAGCATTCAATGTCTCTATGGCTTAGTTTCTTCTTTTATAAGAGGGAAATTACCTACCTCATAGGCTGGCTCAATTCATTTACTTAATAGTACATGAAAAGCACCCAGGAGAGTAGTCTAGAGTACAGTGAGTGTTCAACAAGGCTGAAATACTGTTATTGTTCTTTTCTGAAGTATCTGGTATACCGAAGCTCCTCAACTTATGAAGCAGTTACACCTCAATAAACCCACTGTATGTTGAAAATATAGTAAGCACTTAGGTTTTCGGTGCTTGGGATTGAACCCAGGGACATATGCATGCTAAACACACTCTACCCTAAGCTACATCCTCAGGCCTCTAAAAATGTATTTAACACACATAACTTACTGAACATCACAGTTTAACAACATATTTTACCCTCGTGACTACATGGCTGAATGGGAGCTGAGGCTTACTGCCACAGCCTTTCATCTTACTAGCCCAGGAAAAGACCAAAGTTCAAATTCTGAAGTACAGTTTTTACTGAACGCATATCACTTCCCATCATTAAAAAGTCAAAACAAGCCACGCACGATGGTGCAAGCCAGTAATCAACACTCTGGAAGGCTAGAGCAAGAGAATCACAAGTTTGAGCCTAGCGTGGGCACCTTAGAGGGACCCTGTCTCAAAATAAAAAATGATAAAAAGGATTAGGGATGTGCAAAGACCTTGGATTCAATCTCCAGTACTGAAAGAAAATTAAAAAGTCAAAACTGAACCAGGCATAAAGTTGCACACTTGGGAGGCTGAGGCAGGAGGATTACCTGAGCATGATAGCTCAAGACCAGTCTGGGCAACAGAGCGAGGCTCTACTTCAAAACAAAAACAAAAACAAAAAATCAAAACAAGGAACAAGGGCAGGGGCTGAAGATCAGTGGCAGAGCACTTATCTAAAAAGCACAAGGTCCTGGGTTCTATCCTTAGAATGAAGTGTGTGTCAGTTACTTTCCCAACACCCAAAGTTAGAGGGGAAGGGCTTTATTTGGCTTTCAGTTCATAGAGGTTTCAGTCCATAATCAGCAGGCCCGGTGGCCTGGGATGGCAACCAAGCATTGCAGAGCAGAAACAACATGGCATGCACACAAGGCAGCAAAGGTAACAAGAGAGTTTAACAGCATCTTTCTGCCCCTTTTATCTTATACAGACTACCGGGATTAGGGCGGTACCAAACTAATCACTCACATATAGTGGTTTAGTAATCACTCACCCTTAACCCCAGCATCACACATTTTAGATTCAACTACCTCTGAAAAAGAAAATCCCACCTCATCCTCATGAGGCTTTGGGGGGACAACCAGACACAAACCATAACAAAGTGTCTGTGTGTGTGTGTGTGTGTGTGTGTGTGTGTGTGTGGTATCTATCTGTATTATGTAATTATTCACTGCCATAATATGGGATGCATCCCACTTGGCCTCGGTGGATTTTTTTTTTTTGAGACAAAAGTTTTGTTAAATTGACCTGGCTGCCCTCAAACTGATCATTCTGCTTCAGTCTGAGTGCCAGACATACATTAACATGCCTAACTGAAATATTTTGTTTCAAGTACTGCTAAATAATATCTGAAAGACATTTCTTTGATGCTAGATATTCAAAAACAAATACTAGGGGGCAGATACTACAGACGGAATCCAGAGCCTTCACACTGAGCTACACCCTCAGCTTTTTTTTTTTTGGTACAGGGGATCGAACTCAGGACCTTGCGCTTGAGAGGCAGGTGGCAGCACCACTGAGCTAAATCCCCTGCCCTCTTTTTTTATTTTGAGACTAGGAATCACTAAGTTGCCCAAACTGGGCTTGTACTTGTTAAAGCCCTCCTGTCTCAGCCTCCCAGAGTGCTGGGATTACAGGTGGGCGCCACTAGATCTGGCTTCAAAACTTTTTTTTTGAGACAGGGTCTAGATATTTAGGCTGGAATTGAACTCAAGGCAATCCACCTGCTTCAGTCTCCCAAGTGCTAGGATTACAGGTGTCAGGCACCACACCTGGCCTCAAAAACTTTGATGGTGTGGTGCATGCTAGGCAAGTGTTCTAATACTGAACTATACCCCCAGTCCAACATTTGGTAATATTTTATTTTAAAATGTCACATTACTATTCACACAGATCAGGTTTTCAGTTTTGGTACTATCTTCACGTCAAGTTCCAGTGTCAGTGTTCCACTGGCTTTGTAAAAAGAACCTATGACTTTTCCTTCTTGGGGCTGTGGAACAATTTCGAACTTGTCAAAATTATAAGTTCTGTAGAAGTTTAAAAAAATTTACCTGTGACATCAGCTGAACCTTGCATTGTACGGAATGACAGGTTTCTGGTAACTTTCTCAATTTCTTCCATTGCTACTGGTCTGTTAGGCTGTCTTTTCTGGAGTCAATTTTGATACCTGGATTTCCTTAAAAAATTAATAAAATCTGGCTTAATTTCTATAGTCTTATATAGCATGTTGTTTTAAAAAATTATCCCCAACCATGTGCATTTATGTTCTCTTTTTCTTAAGCAGGTAACCAGTTTATTTAATTCTCTCTTCTTCCGCCCTCAAGGAACCAGCCCTTCAATGATCAATTTTATTATTTTTCAGTTCTTAAATCTGCTTTTCCTCTTTATTACTTCCTTTCGCATGCTTTCTAGTTTCTTATATTAAATGGTTATTTTAATTTATTCTACATTTCATAATTTCAGTGCTTAAGGCTATGCATTTTCTTTTAAGCAAAATATTTATTACTTTTTTTGTGTGTGCTGGGGATTAAACCCAGAGCCTCTGCCTTGTGTTACATTTGCGCCCTTTAAAAAAAAATTTTTTTTTTGAAACAAGGTCTTGCTATGTAGCCCAGGCTGGCCTCAAGAACTCACAGCGATCCTCCTGCCTCAGCCTCCAGAGTTCTGGGATTACAAGGGTGAGCCATCATGCCCAGCTCCTTTGTAAAATTTTGAGATGGGGTCTAAGTCACTCAGGCTGGGCTCAAACTTGGGATGCCCTCCTGCCTCAGGGTCCCAGAGTGCTGGGATTACAGGCATATGCAACTGTGCCTGGCTTTATTACTTTTTAAAGGTATTCTGCATTTTATTTTATTCTAGTTGCTTGTAAGCATTCTAAAACCTTCAGTGGGCTGGTTTAGTGTTATTTGCAATAAAAATGGCAGTAAAAAAGAGTGGTTCCAGAATATCACCTGCTCTTCTTTCTATCCTTAATGTACTGAGGCTTTATGACTTATGTTCTACAGATGCTTGAAAAGTTTGCAGGTACTGAATTTAATAATCACTTTGCCTATTATAGCCTTTTTACTGTTTCAGCTGATAGTTAAGAATATTTTATTTTACATACAGAACACATAACAATACATTTCAAATTCTAAGCTATATGTGTTTCTGAAATATACAAACCAATTTATTTAGCCAGGTATAGTGGCATACATCTGTCATACCAGCACTCTGGAGGCTGAGGCAGGAAGATTGCATGAGTTCAGGCCAGCCTGGGATACATAATGTGTTCAAGGCCAACCTGAACTATGTAGTGGGACCCTGTCTCAAAAAAAAAAAAAAATTCTGCACTTGAACAATATAAATTTTGTCCATGTTCGTTTTCCATTTTTACTGAAATAGCATTTGTGTTATTTTCCTAAAAGAAGCTAGCCAGTCATTTATTGACCACTGTATCAAACTTATTTTAAGAAATTTTAAGAACCTTACTGTATATCTCGAGTTTCATATTTTAAAAATAGTCCTAGGCAGGTGTGATGGCACAGGCCTGTAATCCCAGCACTTGGGAGGCTGAAGCAGGAGGATCACTGCAAGTCTGAGGCCAGCCTGGGCTACATAGTGAATTCAAGGCCACCCCGAACTGTGTAGTGAGACCCTGTCTCTAAAAAAAAAAGTTCTAGATGGGAAAAAGGACTGTTACAAAATCTTCCTGGACCTTACACATTCAAAGCTTTTCCTCTAGTTTCATCCTACACACTAGAATGGTGTGAATAATTTAGCAATAAAAGGAAAGAATGGTGTCTACAATATTCTAAGGCAACAGAGGTTAGAACTTGGCCTGGTTACTGTGAATATGGCTAAATTTCTTTGCTAAACTGATCTCTACATTTAAATTCTTTAACATGGATAAAAATCCTTTGCAATTTATTGCAAGATGTGCTTACCATAGATCTAAGCTATTTCAACATAATGAAGCAAGTTAATGAAGTTAACTTTCAAGCAACTGCAAGGGTCAAACTTCTGTGGCATTAAAAAATGTAGTCTAAATACTCTTAATATATACAGGATCCAGATGTGACCAGTACAAAGGTTTTGTACAAAACTGGGTAGAAGATGGCTGTAATCCTCAAAGGATGTGAATTCCCACTAGTCAGCAAGTCTGAGTCAGCATTCAGAATAAGGTCAGTCTGGGTTCTAGTCTTAGTTCTGACCTTATCTTGCCACTATAAACACAAAGCAATGTCTAGTCTGCACTTACTTCATCCACCAAACCAGACAACAAGGAAGTGAACTCCTCTCAGGGGTAGTAAATAGCATGTTATTTTCTCCTGAGATGCCTAAGGGTGACTTCCAGTTCCAAAGTGCCTTAACCTGTGCCTTGGAACTGCAGAACCGCTAAAGGCCCCGAGGCATTCTGCTATGTTGGATTCTATGGAATTCTTTCAAAGTGAAGTTGGAGGAGGCTCCAAACGGCAAGGTCATTACACATGTATTTCAAGGGCTTCTGTTTCATAGATTACAGGTAGAGGAGCAGAAGGTGGGAATTATGAGCAGCTAGGTAGGGCTGTAAGGGTCAAAATAAATTGTGTCACAGTGGTCAATACCGCGGAGGTGCCGACATACTCCATCTCGCTAAACTTAATAACAAAATATCCACACAGAGACTGACGCCACCACCCCCATACGAAGGGCCTCGTACAATTATTTCCTATAAGGCGATGCAATATGGTGTCACAGAACACGCATTCTCTAGGCATCCATTTCTCCAATCTGTGAGAAAGGGAGAAGTTGGGCAAGATCGGTAGGAACCCCTGGGTCTCTCAAACTCCAGGGTCGCAGCCTCAGGGGCGAGGGTGGGCGCCCTTACATGGTGCCCGCGCCGCTCCCCGGGAGCCGGCAAAGCCCAGCCCCTCCCCGCCCTTGCGGTTTCACCGCCCGGGAGGCGCCTTCCGCCCGAGGACGCCCGAGTGAACACACAGCGTAGGAAAGGTCGCCAGGCAGCCACGATCACGATGCCCCCGTGCACTCCGGGCGGGAGGGAAAGCAAAGGAGCCCAGAGGCACAGAACAGGGCCCGGGGAGTCCATGCACACGCACAGAGGCCCGAAGACGGCAGCCGCCCCTCGACCCTTCCTGCTGCCCCTCTCTCCACTAGAAGGATGGGGGAGGCCCGGCTTCCTCATACCGCTTACACACTCACCCATGGCCGCAGGCGCCGGCCCCACGCCCGGTGCCGCCCGCCCGTCCGCAGGACGGCCAGCGAGCGAGCCCGCGCCCGCGCAGGCGCAGACCTGGACCGATCCAAGCAGCGGAGCGGAGCGGGTCACGTGACGGGGTTGCCTCCTGTTCCCGAGCAGGCCAGTAACAGGGTGACGCCCCCGTATTTCTTTGGTCGCAGTCCGCCCCAGCGGGGCAAGTAGAGGGTTCACGCAGTCACGCCTGACGTCAGGCTATAGGGAACCACTAGTCCCAGTAGTTTACCTTGATGTCGTACGGTGGCCTCACTGAGCCAGAAACAGCCAACGCGTTTTTTAGCGTGCAGCCTGTTGATGGATTCTAGAAAGGATGGGTTCTGGCTGGTGGGCGCAACTGAAAGATCTTAAGTGACCTCCTGGCTCCTCCGTGTAGCCTAGGTTGTTTCCCGAAAACTTCAGAAAGCTTTTTGTCAGCAAGCAGAGCTACAGTTCACAAAACAGCTTTTATCAGCCCTAGGAACCAGAAATCACTGTTAAACCCTTTTTTATTTGAACCAACTTGTGGGATCTTGGAAGGATCGCTGCACCAGGAATTAGGAGGCCTGGGTCAGAGTCAGAGCCGTGGCACTTTCTGGGAGTTACTCTGGACAAGTGGAATCTCCTTAAGCCCCAAATCCCTGATGAAAAATTAACCTCTGTGTTTTAGTTACTTTCTCATCACTGAGACAATATCCAACACCCACAACTCTAAGGAGAAAAAGTTTTGGCTTGTAGTTTGTAGAGGTTTCAGTCCATAATGCGTAGCTTCAAAGGCAGGGTGGCATGGCAGAGGAGAATTGCTCATGGCAGGCAGTCAGGAAGCAGAGAGGGATCAAGGGAAGAGGGAGGGAGATAGACCCTTCCAAACCACGCTCTCAGTGACTTATCTTCTCCCACCAAGCTTTACTTCCCAGCATCACACTTATCTATAAACTCATCAGTGAATTGGTCCACCATGATCCAATGACCTTCCCAAAACCCTACCTATGAGCCCATGAGGCTTTGGTGAGGGGACATCTAGATATAAGCCACAACACCCTGCCTTGTATGCCATTGTAAGTGATTCTTATTGGAAGTAATGGTTCCGACTTTAATTTGTAAGCTGGACTATACACAGTTGATTCAAGGAGTTGAAGAAATGGAAAAGAGCCTGAAAAGGGAGGCACTCCAGGAGGTTTGTCAAATATGTGATGTATGTATTTTATTTGGGGTTAGCCCAATGGATAACCCACCACTGGAGTGAAGCATTAGTAGGAATCAGCTCTAGCTCGAAGACTCCCCATCCTGTGTTTCTTCTTGGGATGTAGGAGACCATGCCTCCACATATTAGCAAACTCTGTAGGAGGTACCTGCTCTGTGGCAGGTACCCTCAAGCAAGCTGAAAGTCTAATCTAGGACACAGAAATGGAAGGCTGCAAATTTAGAAGCATGAGGGGCTTTTCCTTTTCAGAGAGTACCGGGGATGGCTTCCTAGGGTAGGAGGGATTTGAACTGGTCCTTGGAGGTTGAACAGGTGGAATTTGAACCAGCGGAGAAAGTCATTACAGTAGGAGATAAGATTGTAAAGGTCAGGTGGTGACTTGATAGTGCCAGATCTTAGCTGCTAGATGCAGCCAGCTGGTATCTAATTAGTATGCAAGGGATAGATTTTGGACTCCATAGGAAAATGACAAGGCCACACCATGGTTTAGAACAGTCAATCAGGCAACGGTTGGAGAAAGGGCATTTACCTCAAAATTGTGTTTGCCGTAGCATGTGTGAGTTCCCATTCATATGTATTATTCAAAAAATAAATCAACCAGGCAGGCATCCAGTGTGTTCATAAGCATAAATAATTAATTTCAGACTATAAGAGAGAGGTTATTCTCCTGTGGGAAAGCATAAAGAGAAGGGAAAGATTGAAATTAAACATACAATTGGGGTATAACTGACTCAAAAGTGTGAGACAATCCCATGTCACCAGGAATACACTAGTCTGGAGCTGAGCCAGTCCCTTTCCATCATGCCACAGGCCACAACATAGGCCTTTTCCCCTCCAGCTCTGGGGTCCTGGTAAGAAGCCCCCAGGCCCTTAATTGGCTATTCTTGGATATTTAAATAATGGCGATCAAAACCTCTGTTCTTTGATTCAGAATTCATAGTAAAGCTAACCTTTCATTTCTGCCATTATTCACCATTTTTCCATCCATTATTCAGTCCCTTAAACTGTTTTGCATACCTCCAGCCTGCATATCGGCCACCAGATAACAGCCTCTAGCCTGGTTGTGATCATTCAATATATGGATGACATTCTTCTAGCCCATGCCTCTCTACCTGTGCTCCAGGAACTTTACTTTGCCTTGCAGGTGGGTCTTTCCACTTTGGGGTGGTTATACCCCTGGATAAAATCCAAAAAAGAGCCCTTTTCTTATTTGGGACATATTCTAGAAAATACTCAGGTAACACCTCAACTCGTTCAGATTCGCACTGATCACCTTTCTACACTTAATGATTTTGAAAAGCTCCTGGGAGACATCAACTGGCTTTGACCATCAACCATCATTATCTTTAACAACTGCAGACTTGCAACCAGTATTTAAAATCCTCAAAGGTGACCCTTCGCCCGCCTCACTTTGCCTCCTAACCCCTTCAGCTCGTGAGGCCTTGTGTAAGGTGGAGAAGAGTATTCAATAGGCAGCCCTCGCTCATGTTGTCCCTGAACAGCCTTTATGGTTGGTGACCTTGTCTACTCCACATAAGCCAACAGGAGCACTGTGGCAGCCTCAGGGGGTTCTTGAGTGGATCCATCTTCCTAATTTACCACCCTGCTCTCTTACCCCTTATCCCTCTTTAGCAGCTGTCGTGAAAGGCCATGGACGACTATGCTGTCTTCAGTTGCTTGTGCGAGAACCTCATGAACTCATTATACTTTATTCCCTACAACAACAGCAATGGCTTTGGTAGTTTTCCAAAGATTGGCAGACTGTCTTAGCATCCTTCCCTGGACAGACTGACAATCATCTGCCTGTGAACAAGATTTTACAATTTGCAAACCTTACTCCTTTCATTTTCCCTAAGATTGTCCCGTTGTTGCCGTTGGAAGGTGCCGTTACTGTTTTTACAGATGGCTCCTCTAATGGATTTGCGGGATATCATTCCTTGAGTGGGAATAGATCTCATGATACTGGCTTTACATCTGCTCAGCATGCTGAATTACAGGCTGTCATTTGGGTGCTAAAGATTATGCTTCTGTCACTTTTAATTTGTACTTGGACAGTGCCTATGTAGTGAATGTAGTCCTAAAAATAAAAACTGCTACCCTTTCCTCCACTAACAGCAAAGTTCTCTTTCAGTGTTTTCATTGTCTGAGAGACCTTGTTTCATCTCACACATTCATGCACATTCTTCCCTCCCTGGGCCACTGTGTCAGGGAAACAACACTGTTGATAATCTTATTGCTCCTTTGCTTCCTCAGCCCCTTCTACTTGCCCTTCATCAGGCCACCGCCTCACATGCTGTTTTTCACCAAAATGCTTCCACCCTGTGCAAACAGTTTCATATTTCTTGAGAACAGGCACACGGCATTGTTCACACCTGTTCCACCTGCAGCCTTCATATTCTGTCACCTGTCCAGGGTGTCAGTCCTAGAGGTCTGCGTCTTCATAATCTCTGGCAGATGGATGTGACCTATGTGCCTGAGTTTGGTCACCTCAGATATGTTCATGTTTCTGTTGACACCTATTCCTCCATGATCTTCATTTCTGCTCAACCAGGCAAAGCTGCCCAACATATTATTGATCACTGTCTTCGTGCCTTCAGGTGCTTGGTTGTCCAAAGGCTATCAAGACTGACAATGGTCCTGCTTACACTAGTGCCCTTTTAAACACTTTTGTACAACCTTTTGCATTTCCCTCTCTACAGGTATTCCTTATAACTTTCAGGGTCAAGCAATCATTGAACATGCCAATCTCACCCTTAAAACTATGATACACAAAGAAAAAGGGGGAGTACTCCCTAGTTCTTATAAGCCTACAGCCTCTACTGTAATAAATCTGGCATTATATACCTTAAATTTTAAAAACATCAGTGAACAAGGGCTTACAGCAGCAGAGCATCATTTTCTTTCTAGTCACCAATTTGCTCACTGGAAGGACCCAGCCACTGGTCAGTGGTATGGACAAAGTCCTGTGCTTATGTGGGGAAGAGGATTCATTTGTATCTTTCCAGAAGCCGCTGATTGCCCTGTCTGGGTGCCAACCTGACTGGTACGGCCATGTGATGGCATCAAACCCAGAGAAATAGCTGATTCCACCATTCAAAAAGCTGATGTTGTCGCCCCAGATGAAGATGCCTTGTCAGCAGCAACTTACCCCATGTGGGGTCAGATCAAGAAATTAATAGAAGATGCTCAACAAATAGTAAAGGATAAGGGAGGTCCCTCAGGTCCTGGGTCCTTATTCTTTGCTATGATAGCCTTGGTATCCACTCAGGTAGGAGTTACAGATGCCAAACAGCACTGGACTTATTTCCTTGACACCCCACCCCCACTCCCATTGGCTCATGTTGTACCCTGGGAAATGCCAGCTCCTACTCCCATATTCACCAATGTGTCTGGCTTCTCAGGGGGATGGCCAGATGGGCATATTTCTCCCAGCCACACCACCTATAACTGTATAGGCATAGTGGCATCATTTCCTCTGTGTCTGGGGCCCAGTCAATTCTGCTTGCCCCTTTGGACTATAGAAAAGTCCACCATTGTGAAGAATAAATCTGGCCTAGAAAGGGATAAAATCCTTTACAAAACTTTAAAGTTGGACAACATGAGTCCGTCTAATACATCTTGTTCTACTCATCCCTGCCACACCAGAATGGCCACTGTTCCACTTGAAGGCACAGTGTCATGGGTTGACTGTTGTACCTACCATATCAATCAGACTTATATATATCCTGTGCAATTTTCAGACCACTCTCATGTACTGGTAAATTACACTGGATTCTTTCCAGTTACTCCTCTTGAAATTAATCATCATTTCAGACAGTCTGGCCTGTGGAGGCTTGCTGCATGTACTGATAAAATAACACGATCCAGCTATAGCCTTAAAGACCTGAGTCATGTGGGAGCTGCCAGTCATTGGGGATGCGCTTGTGGACAGGCACCCTATGTTTTCCTTAGTGGGTCCATTAATATTACCA